AGTGAAACAGAAGTTGTTCGCGAACAACGAGCCATTTTGGTATTCCTAAGCTTAGTGGGGCACCAATCAACAGATTTCCAGACGGTTGGGTTGAACCTCAACTTTGAAACGTGCCCTAAGAGCTTAATGGGGATGAAAATTTTTCAATGTGGTCCAGGTCTTGCATTGAAGAAATTGTCTCTTATACGTGGTCGCTAGTGAGAATGACATAACCTGCCACATAGTTCATCCCGAAATTGAATTTTCCTCACATACTTGTTACTCAACCACTGCAAGTTGGGCACTAGAAGTGGAGTGAGAAGATTTCAAATGTAAGTACTTGAGAGTTACATTGCGGGAACCCACTTCTATATGTGGCTTTAGCTCAGAATGTGCCAAAAGAGGATGTCCATCTATTATACCAAAATGTGTTGTGGAATGATAAAACTGGAATGATCGACTACCGGTGGTCTTAATGCCGTATTATGAGAAATCAGGAGCTTCGACGAATGAAGTCAAAGCTCTCCCAACCCTGAAAGAATGACATCGAGTTTTTCTCCAAAACCTGAACCAGTTTGGCCTGAACAGGTTCAGTTGAGAGAGAGAGAGAGAGAGAGAGAGAGAGCGGGGGGGGGGGGGGGGGGACCCCCCCCCCCCCCCTCCTCCCTTACGGGTTTCATTAGGCGGGAATTTTCCCTCTCTCTGTTTTCATTTGTCGCCCATCCCTCTTCTATTTATATGTGTTTTTAGGTCTTAGGGCTTCAACTTATGTTATTTTTTTATTTCAGTTTGTGAGGACAACCACCAACGTCCTATTTACCCCTCTGCGGGCTGTATCCGTCGGTTAGGGTGATGCTTCGCTCGTATTTCTCTCCTTTGTGGTGATTATTTTTCTCAACCTCCACTTCTTTCTCCCCTTCAAACCGTCGAACCTCCTTTCTGCTAGTTCCTACGCAACAACATCCTCCCTGATTTCCTCCTCCCTATGGATCACTCCACACAAATAACACTCTCACAAGTTTCCTCCACCCTCAACCAACTCCTGCTACCAACACTTCTTCACGCTGCAACCCAACACAACATTCCCCCTGCCCCTATCACAACCCAGTATTCCCTCTGTTCTTCCAGCCTACTCATCCCGACTTTCTTAGCTTCACACCTAAGGATTCCCGCTCCACCAACCAACCAACAACTCAACCCTTCCAGCTCCTACTAAGCCATTTATGCTAAACAAATTTTTGGATCAAGTAAGGCCTTGATCAATGTTTTTCTTATCTCCTTTGACAGGATCAGAGCGTCTTAGATGATTAGTTTGACACTCTAGTGCGTTATATTCCACTTTGTTATTAATTCATCTGATTTGCTCCCAGGCAGTTGCTTATTCTATTTGTGGGGTTGACTCTTCATGAATTGCTATTTGCTTTCCATTATCTTTTGGAACTGTCCTTGGGGGTAATACTTTACCGCTTTCTTCCCTTCTTTTCATTAGGCAGGAATTTTTTTCCCTTTCTGTTTTCATTTCTTGCCCTATCTCTCTTCTATTCATATGTGTTTTTAAGTCTTACAGTTTCAGCTTATGTTACTTTTTTATTTCAGTTTGTGAGAATAGCAACGAACGTCCTATTTACCTCTCTTAGGGTTGTATCCGACGGTTAGACGATTACAGTGATGCTCCTACCGTATCCCTCTCCTTTGTGGTGATTATTTTCTTGATCTGCACTTCCTTCTCCCCTTCTGATCGCCAATCCTCCTTTCTACCAGCTCCTACACAACAACACCCTCCCTGATTTCCTCCTCCCTACAGATCACTCCACGCAAATAACACTCTCACAAGTTTCTTCCTCCCTCAGCCAACTCCAGCTAACAACACTTCTTCACAATACAAACCAACACAACATTCCCTCTGCCCCTATCTCAGCCTGGTATTCCCTCTGCTCTTCTTGCCTACTCATCCCGACTTTCCACCACTTGCAACCAACCGAGAACTCAACACTTCCAGCTCCTGCTATAAGCCTCCCAAGCCTGTCGAAACCTTGCAACAACCTTTTACCAACTCCTACAGTCACTATAACGACCATTTTCAGGCATATGATCTGCTGCCTAGCTACCGTCCACCCCTTCCACTAGCTGCCACCTACCTCCCTGGTCTCAAAAACATGCTGTCCACTCTCTATTTTCCCCTGTCGCCGCCCCTAAGTCTGTGTGTGTTGTTGGTGTCATCACTCTCACATCACTCCGCCGGCTACCATACCATCTTTCCAGTCTCCTGCCGCACCCGTCTCCTCCAACTAATCCCTTAACCCGCTGCTTAGCCGCCGTCCACCACCCGCCCCTAAGGTATCTTCAGTGCTTGTTTTGTTATTATTCTCCTATGTGTTTGTAATCCTTTTGAATTTCATCAATAAAATTTCGTATTTGGATTATGGTTTAGATATTCCTTTCAGTATCAATTGGTATCAGAGCAAACCCAACCGTAGTCCTATTCAAGGGATTCCTAACTTTCGCTCTCACCCAAACAACCCCTATCAAAAATTTTTTCTTCCAATTCCCAAATCTCTAGCAAGAATTTGATCAAACCCTAATTAATCTCTTGTTGATTTTTTAAATCAGCCACACCAAATTAAATTTTCTACACCGTTAAAGAGAGTCTTACACCCTTAATGGGTCTCCTACAGCCTCTTTCACCTCCAAACCCTAAAACCTAGTCATGCCACCAGCAAGATACACACCCTAGCCTTTCTAAGAGGAGATATGACAGGAGATACGTCGATTTCAGTGTGGATTACAGACATGGAAGTTGAAATTCAATGTGCGGCTACCCTCGTTTGTGATTCAAAAGGTCGAAGAGTGAACGAGAAGATATGAAGGTGAAGCGGGAAACACAACATCAATTCCTCTCAACTTACTGCCACCAAAAGTTGGAAACTCTAGCTTCTGAAGTGGAGATACTGCATCACCAAGCCAAGCAACCCCCTGACTACTATCCAACGAAAACAATCCGCATGTCTGTCACAATAAGAAAATGTTGCAAGTGCCAGAGATTTTGACATGGTGAAGAAGGATACACAATCAAAGGAGTGATTTATATCACCGAACAGGGCATCTTTGAAAAGTTGGGTAGAGAAATCATAGGGACTGAAGACGTTGAAGACATAAATGAGGAGAACCCGCTTCCAGTTTAGGAGGATTAGTACCAGCTGAGCTCGTGGAAGAGACTCCAACCGACCTCATTGTAAGTGGCCAATGCAGTTACGAGTCTGGGGAGTCGACATCCGACACAAGCCCCCTACAGACAAGAGCAAGGCATTTACTTCAAAGCTATATACCCTCTATTGAGTTTCCCCTATGTTGAGAGGTTCAACATTTCCAAGGAGTCATTTTGTCCAATGCTTGGACTATTACAATAAGTAGTTTATATGTTTGAGTCAGCTCAACGGGGCACCCATCAGTAGATTCCAGACGGGTGGGTTGAATCTCAACTATGAAATGTGCCCTAGGAGCCTAAGGGGGATGAAAATTCTTCGATAGGATCCAAATCCTGTCATTGAAGAAGTTGTCTCTCCTAAGTGGTCGCTAGTGAGAGTGACACATTTTGTCACAAATTTCATCCCTGAATTGTGTTCTTCCACATACTTGTTACTCAGCCACTGCATGCTGGGCACAAGAAGTGGAAGTAGAAAATTTCAAATGTAAGGGCTTGAGAGTTGCATTACGGGAACCCACTTCTATATGCAGCTCCCACTTAGAATTTGCCAAAGGAGGATGGCTACCTATTCTACTAGAATGTGTCATGAAATGATACACCGGCGTGATCGACCTACTAGGGGACTTAACGTTATATCATGAGCATTTAGGAGCTTCGAGGAATGAGGTCGAAACTCCCCCATCCTTGGGAGAATGACACGTGGGGTTTTCCTCCAAAAGCTGAACCGGTTTGGCCCGAACTGGTTCAGTTGAGAGAGGGGGGCTCAACTGAACCGGCCTCCTCCCCTTTCTTTTCATTTGTGGGAATTTTTCCCCCTTCTTGTTTTTATTTACTGCCCATCACTCTTCTATTTATATTATTTTTGGGGTCTTAGGGTTTCAACTTATGTTATTTTCTGATTTCAGTTTGTGAGGACAGTTGTTGACATCCCATTTTCCCCTCAAGGGCTGTATTGAACGGTTAGGGTGGTTCTTCCGATATATCCCTCTCCTCATCCTTTTCCAACACTCCTCCGACTATCAGTTTCCATTTGCTAGTCGCTGGAAGGTTGCAACTTGCTTCCAATCTAATTCCTCCTAGCCATCATTCCTATAACATGACAACAATTTTCTTGTAACCCTTCCACTTCCCTATGTCTGGGCCACCAGGCCAAACTCTTCCCTAATACGTGTCGCCTGTCCACTCCCTTTTGCTCCCTGATAGCCGGCCCACCCGTTTCCTGCAATCATCCCACTCACCCGCTGCTTTACTACTACCCAGTCGGCCTTCCCTCCACCGCAAAACCCCCTACAACCACTAAGACAACCCCCACAATTCCACCTGACTTTCAGGTGTTGCTGGAACCACTTCCAACTCCTACCTATTGTCCCACCGCTAGACAACCTTTGGCTCCGTTCTAGGGTGTCTTTTCAGTTTATGTTACTATTTTTCTCAGTGTCTAGTTCTTATTTGTAAACCTTTTAATATTCAACAATAATATTTTCATTTCGATTGTGGTTCGGAATTTCTCGGAATCACTAGTTTTTTTTATTTTTATTATTTTTAACTTTTATTTTCAAAATATGTTTATTTTGTGCAAAATATTTGTTTGTTTTTTTTTCAAAAATAAATTAATTACTTTTTAAAAATACTCAAAAAAATAACTAAAAGCTGCTTTGAATGTTTTTAAAAATAACTAACTAATCATCTAATAGTAAATTTGTTTAATTTAAATAAAAATATAAACAGAATAAACAAAAATATAAAATATAAAATAAAAATGAGAAGTGAGCCCAAACGGTGTACAAGTGATGAATTTTTTTTCACATGTCCATAGGCGAACGGAAGATGCCCAGCGCTAGTGTGAATCCAAAATCACTTCCAGAGTCAAAGTCAACGCCAGTTACCCTTTCTAGGAAACCTATGAACCGCGGTATTTTGGAGAATCCTAAGAAAGCAACAGCTAATGAATCCAATAATGTTCTAACATCCAAGAGCTCAAATAAGAAAGATCACAAAGGTGATACAGGCGGTTTTTCCATTTTTGACAGAAATAAGCATGGAAGCCAAATTGCTGATGGTTCAGGTGTGACATCCACGAAGGATCAAACGAGCACCAAGACTCCTGTGGATTGGTTGAAGCAGCCAATTCCTAGCAAAGGAAGGAAAGAGCTTATCAATTTTGTACATAAGGCCATGCACAGTCCCCAAAATTTGAAGCCTGTTTCAAATGGTCCTTCTTCCCAGAGGAAAAGAGTAGCTGCTCCAATGACTAAAACTGATACAAGGCTTGTAATTCTTACTCCCATGCCGTTGCATTCTGGTGGTAATGCCGTTCCGGGTGCTGGCATGTTAAAAAGCAAAGGTAAATTGTGCTTTTATGATTCTTTTGTTGTAATTTCCACACACACACACACACACACACACACACACACATATATATATATATATATATATAAGTACATGTATATGTATGTATGTATATATGTATATAGAATGCCAAAATAGTTTATTGACTGTTTACATGGAGTTATTTTAACTCCGTAGTCTAAAATTGCCACATTAGTCACATTTTTTAAAAATTAGGGCAGACTTAGTCCCCATGAAAATTATTTCAAACCAGTTTAAAAGAGTGGGGATTAAGTTAGCATTTTATAGACACTGGGAGATAATCCCCTGCAAAAAGTGAGGACCGTTTTGACCTTTTTTTCACATATATCTATCTATAGATGTATGTATGTATGTATCTATAGATGTATGATGTATGTATGTAGCATTTTATAGATGTATGTAAAATTATTTCAACCCTGCAAAAAGTTAGCATTTTATAGATGTATGTATGTATGTATGTATGTATGTATGTATCTATATATCTATATATATACATGTATATGTATGTATGTATGTATGTATGT